TGTGTGTGTGTGTGTGTGTGTGTGTGTGTGTGTGTGTGTGTGTGTGTACATGTGCGCGCGCACGTGTGTGCATGTGTGTGTGTTTGTTTGCTCACTTTCAGGTAACCGATTTCAATAAAACTTGGTAATTATAATATGTAATTCCACGTACTTTTGAGGTCGGTTTTTTTAGTACTCTGTACTGAGATTATTAAGTTAATATTCACATAGTAATGCTCACATTACTGCAGAAATAGGAAAAATCGCTAACTATCCTGGACGAACTCTGCAGCTGGTGGAATCTTAAACTGTTATCTTGAAAAGCTGTCCGTATACCGATTGGCCTTATTAAAACAAAGGTGCGACATCAAAGGCTTAGGCTTATTCTTTTGTATGAACTAATTCATGTCCGTGCCCCGACTGTAACACGACCAGCCTAACATGAATTAGTTTACTGTGCCACGGCCGGCGCATGACCAGAGCATGGCCCGACCCCGGTACGGTGTAACGTGAATTTGCCTTAAATTATAAAAAAACTATCCTTTAGATCCCATTCAATCATGCCACGTCGTATTTTTCGTTATAAAACTGCTAGCATTTTGATTAAATGCAAAGTTCCCAAACTCTAAACAAAACTGTCGATAGGAACTTTTCCCTATTTACATAATATTTAACTATTTATCCAACTTTGTGTCTATGAGGTTCACTCATCGGTGAGAAGGATCCGCTCAATTTCCGCTAGTTTTCAACATTATACTGTATCCTTTTCTGATCTTTAATACTGTATAAATATATTATATATTTAGTATATATTTTTTAGTATATTTAGTATATTTTTTTTGTGTGTCGCAAGGATAGGCGCCGTTCTCCATTAAAATAGCTTCGTTTATCTTTGTTGGTCTCTTGAGGCTTTGGCTACCTTCTGTGACCACAGTACATTTAAATTATGTACTAAAAATGATTAACTTTGTGATCAAAATTAAATTGACTCAGACAATTAACAGAGTGTTATTTTAAATCCTCTAATAAAGCTGTTCTTGTGCACAAAACCACGTGTACTGGAACTCAATTCTCATACTGGACTCTCATACTTTAGTAGCAGTAGAGCTCCTTGCGACAGAGCTCTTCCAGGGAAGTACTGCCACCTTACCTATTTCTGCCGCCAAGCAGTAATGTAAGCATTAATGCGTTACGGTTTTGAAGGGTAAGGGAAGGGCTGGTGAAATTACAGGCACATGGGACTCGTCAACTTATGTCTCAGGGTGACGGGCGCAGTGGCAGTGCCCCTCAGATATTTGCGATTTAAAACTCTGAGTGTCACTGCAACTGTTATGGACAGGTGTGTAACTTAACTTGTCCGTCACTTGATGTTATAAAAAAAATGTCCGCAGCAGAGCTGATGGCTGATGACTTATTCTAGAGTGGCGACCACGAGGTCTACCACGAAATACGAAATACCACGTAACAACGAAGCTCATATGACAGCTATCGTAACCAATTTTGAAATTACATTCATAGTAAAACATGACATGACTATGTAGTACGTATGAGCTTCGTTGTCACATGGTAAACCTCCAGGCCAAGCAAACACAGTGCAGGATGTCTCGCGGAAAGATGGACGGACGACCTGAGAAAGGTGGCAGGCGACACAGAACTGAGAAAGTTGGCGTGCCCAGCAGTAGACGCGTGTAAAAATAAAAAGAATGCTACGCTTCAGTGGGGAATCCATCCATGTGCTGGCGAGTAAAAGATAAAATATATTTTCAGTGCCTTTTTAAATAAATAAAGTATAAAAACAAAATCTAATATTAGTTCCAAAAGTAAAATAAACAGTAATGTGTCCTTAGAGAGCGATTGTCCTCGCCCGGAGGTCAAACCCAACAGCCGATTTCGCCGTTAATTTGTAATTAGCATTCATAGGCAATAAAATCCGGTGGTGGCAATCTGAATTGCTTTTCCCTCTAAGTTTTGTTTACAGAAGCACGAAGATACTTGATTTTATTTGGATATGGCATAAGATCATACCTTTGGTACAATAAAGCCACATGTACCCTTTTTAACGATGCCAAGTACGGGACGAACAACGTAAACAAAACACCTGTCCATAACAGTTGCAGTGCCACTCGAAGCTTTGAATCATATAGATCTAAAGGGCACTGCCACAGTGCTCGTCACCTTGAGACGTAAGTTGACAAGTCCCATGTGCCTGTAATTTTACTAGCACATGTACACTGTAATAATAACACACAGCTTGATGGCAGAAATTGGTAAGGTGGCAATACTACCCTGGACGAACTCTTTTATTTGTGTATAGTTATAAAGATTTAAAAATCATATTCACGAACAATATAACGAGCTTTTAAAAGAGGTGGTCTAGAAGTCACTCTGGCTCTTACCCCACCCCGGACACTCCATACAACAGTCGAAAGTTATTTACGAAAAATAAAATGATAAAATAAAATCCATTTTATTTATGAAAAATAAAATGGAATAAAACATGTAATTTTTTTTCACATCCTATATACAATTTCCGTCCAATGCCGCACCTTCCTTCCATACGAAGGCTCTACTAAGCAACGTCTAACAAAACGCAATTACGTTAATTGAAAAGAACTTTATTTGAACTTAATCTTCTGCCCTTTTCACCCTCAGAGGTGCCGTTTACGTGCTTCTATTCACAAATAAATTTGCTAAGTATTCATATCAAATGCTTGGTCTCAAACTGAGGAATTCCCTACGCTAAAATCAATAGAATAACACTCCGTCTAAGAACAATTTCGAAAGAATAATTTCCTAAATCTACTACTGAGAAACATAATAATTTGCTAGTAATGTCCGAGACGACCACACCAATTGCTTGGTTTCAAACTAGAGAATTTTCTGTATTAAGAGTATCAAAGGTACAGAATTACTCTGGGAATTACTTACTTGTTTAAGTGGCACTTCAAACCAGAATTAATTTAGAAAAGTTAATTTCCTACATTGGTCCTACCGGTAATCGAACCCGGGACCTTCATCCAGTGCCCACAGTGCAAACCGTTGGGCCACCGAGGTCGTCATATATTTTATTATTTTAAATGAACAGCAACTCGACAACATCACATACCTTGCTCTGATCCCAAAGTAAGAGGAACTTGTGTTACTTTGGGATCAGAGCAACGTACGTGGTAATCGAAACAATATAGGAAAGTTAGTTTTTCTACACTGACGCGGCCGAGGAGCGAACCTGGGACCTTAGAGATGGCGACACCATAAAAACCGGTGTGCAAGCCACTCGATCACGGAGATCGTCAACTTTTACTTCCTTTCTTCCTTCCTCCGTCCAACATCCTCCCTCCCTCCTTCGTACCATCCTTATTTCCTCCCTCGCTCCAATCTTCCTTCCTTCCTTCCTTCTTTCTTCTTACTTCTCTTTAACCATTTGTGATAAATTATCACTAATGATTTATCGACCGTGATACATTTGACTTTAAAGCTCGGTTTGTGATTGCCTTGGTTTACCTTTATATTCGGTAAACAGGACTGAACTGAAGTTTATAAAACTTATAGAAATAGCATATCTAGGAGAGTTTTGCACAAAACTCTTGATCGTAAAGTGTGTAAACAATCTTTCATTATTTTCAAAATATGGGTAGTCTCGTAATACATACATAAATAAATAGAAAATAAATTCACCTGTATTTTTTTGTAATATTCGTTCGAGATGCCCCCCGCTAGAACTGCATCGACTACGTGCTCGACTGAATGCATCATCTATGTGCACTTCCGCCACAAAGAAAATACCTTTCCTTCTCATTTTTATTATTGCCCGTGAATGTGTTGTTTTGGTGAATGCTTATTACTGATATTGACGGTGGACTTTTCGGAGCTCCAAACAGTAGCGCAGAAGTGCAAAGGACCGTTGTGACGTCATCAACTCTGTCATACGACGAGGAGCCGAATAACTACAAGTTTACTATTTTTATATAATACCATGTGAAGGGACGAACAAGTCGTGGGCCTGGTGTCAAGCGACACGCAACTACATAACAGTTCCAGTGCCACTCAGAGCTTGAAACCGCAAAGACCGGCGGGGAACTGCCATTGCGCCCGTCATCCTGAGACGTAAGTTGACAAGTCCCATGTGCCTATAATTTCACCAGCACCCGTATCTTTCAAAACCGGAATGCAATATTGCTCACATTACTGCTTGGCAGCAGAAATAGGTAAGGTGGCAGTATTTCCCTGGATGA